CCAAGAGGGCACAAAGGAAGCAAAGAAGCACTGTGAGCCACTAGGATGTAAACTGCTCCAACATGTAAAGGTGTATCAGATCCGAATGTCTTGTGCTCAGTGAGGGACTTCTGGAGGCCATGACACCTCCAGCTGTATACTCACACGGTGTCTCCGGGACAGGCAACAGGGTGACCCAAAGCCTGGGCTCTGAGTTCGGGGTGGATCAGCCCTTATGGGAACTCACCAGGACAAGCCGAGAGGGGAGAGGTGCCCATGTGGGCTTCGGGACCATGTGGCAGAGTGTGCCTCCCTGATCTAACAAACTAGTCCAACAATAAAGAGGACAGGGTGGAGAGGACAGAGGAGGGGGCTACTCGCTTACCCTTGAGCAGCTGAAGAAACAGGCAAGAAAAGGGGCCTACTTACTGAATGAACCCAGGTTCTGGGTGTCACCAACACCGTGGGCAGGGGTCCCTGTTCAGGCACCAGGTGTTGCGGGTTCTCCTCAGGTCAGCTGTGAAGACCCTAATCTGGATTGGGTCCCCTGCCAATTGGGGGGGGGTAAGAGGCACAAAGTCACAACACACAGACCCCGGGAGTCGGTAGAAGCAAGCACTAGGCGAGGTGCTGCAGGCTCATTTAATGCAGGAGGGGGCACACCTTATATTTCCCTTTTCTCCGCCCCAAGTCCCTTTAGTCAGCATATCGTTTTCTGATTGGTCGGTGCCACGCAGTCTGTCAGCAGTCACTGGGCTCACAAGCAGGGTATGGAGGTGAAGGCTCCTTTTGGCAGGCTATTTGCAGACCAAGAAGTGAAGTGAATTCTCGCTGAATCCCAGGGCTCTGAATTCATGCCATCTTTGGAGGCCTCCTGCTATAATATGGTAGGTCCATTTTTAGTTTTCTTGCAGGTTATCCACACTGCTTTCCATACTGGTTGTGCAAGTTTGCACTGCCACTTGCAGTGAATAAGCATTCCTCATTCTCCACGTTCTCCCCAATATTTGGAGTCTTTTTTTTTTTGGTCTTTTTGACACAGGGTATCCCTGTAGCCCCAGCTATCCTAGAACTCACTATGTAGACCAGGCTGGCCTTGAACTCACAGAGCTCAATCTGCCTCTGCCTCTTGATCTTTGCTAATCTGACTGGGGTAAAATGGAATCTTAAAGTGGTTTTTAACTGCCCTTCTCTAATTACTAAGGATGTTGAGCACTTTTTAAGTTGCTCTTTAGCCATTTTTATTCTTCACTTGAGAACTTTGTTTACGTTTATTGCACATCTTTTTTATTAGGTAGTTATTTTCCTATTTCTTTCTTTTTGGAGACATTGTATATTCTAATTATTACTCCTCTGTAGGATGTGTAGCTAGTTAAGATTTTATCCCACTCAGTGGCTTTCCTCTTCCCTTCCTTAGTTGTTTCTTTTGCTGTACAGAAACTTTGTGATTTAATGAGGTCCCACTTAGGAATTGTTGACCTTAGTGCCTGAGCAACTGGTGTCTGATTTAGAAAGTCCTTTCCAATGCCTATATCTTGGAAGATGCTGCTTATGTTCTCTTGTAGCAGTTTCCAAGTTTCAGGTTTTATATTGAGGTCTTTGATTCATTTGGAGTTGACTTTTGTGCAGGGTAAAAGATAAGGGTCAAGTTTCAGTCTTCTACAGGTGGAGATTCAGTTTTACCATCACCATTTGTTGAAGATGCTATCTTTTCTCCATTGTGTGTTCTTAGGACCTTTGTTGAATATCAAATGGCTGAAATTATATAAACTCATATTTGGGTCTTCTATTGTGTTGCATTGATCTACGTGTCTACTTTTGTGCCAATACCACACTGTTTTTATGACTATAACTCTGTAATATAATTTGAGATCTGGTATGATTCCCCCAGCATTTTTCTTTTTCCCAAGACTGTTTTGGCTATCTGATGTTTTCTGTGATTTCATATGAATTTTAGCATGATTTTGTCAAGCTCTGTGAAGAATGTTGTGGGTATTTTGATTGGAATTACATTGATTGCTTTTGGTAAGTCTGTCATTTCATAATGTTGATTCTACCAATCCATGAACATGGTATGTCTCTCCATATCCTAGTGTCTTCCTCTATCTCATTCTTAGAGTTTTGAAATTTTCATTGTAGAGATCTTTAATGTCTTTGGTTAGATTTATCCCTAAATTTCTTTTGAGGCTATTGAGAATGGGAGGGTTTCCTCTAGTGCTTTTTCTGATTGCTTGCTATTGGTAAATAGAAAGGCTACTGGTTTTTGTAGTTGATTTTGTATCCTGCCACTTTACTGAAACTATTAATCAATTCTAACAATTTTCTAGTGGAATTTTGGGGATCTCTTATATATGATATCATCATCTGCAAAAAGGGATAATTTGACCTCTTCTTTCCCAATTGGTACTCCTTTAATTTCCTTCTCTTGTCTTATTGCTGTTGCAAGAGTTTCAAGCACTATATTGAAAAGGAGTGGAGATAGTGGACAGCCCTGTCTGGTTCCTGGTTTTAATGGGAATGCTTCCAGTTTTTTCTCCATTTAGGATGATGTTGGCTATTGGTTTGTTGTATATAACTTTAATTATGTTGAGATATATTCCCTCCAGACCAATTGGCTTTGATATTTCATTAAGCCACATATTTGTAAACTCTTTGGCTTTCATCAAAGTTTATGCCTTTCCTTTTTGAGTTCTTTGAGTTGTTTGTGTTTTATTGAAGTTCTTTAATCATGTTTATGATTGGCCTTTTCAATTCTGTGTCTGGGGGGCCTACAGGGTGGTTCTTAAATGCTGTGCACTTCTGTAGGACTCTTAGGTTTTGTTGGGGATATATTTTCCTGTTTTTTCATATTGTTTGTTTTTGCATTGCTGTTTGGGCATATGGATGTTCTTTGTTGGTTATGTGTTCATCAGGAACTTCTATTCTCCTTTTGTTTAATTTAATTTTGGTTCTGTTAATATTGTTTATATAGCTTAGCTACCTTTTGTTCTGGTGTGGAAGAAAAACTAGTGGGTATTTCAAGTTCTTGCTGGGTAGTAGACTGGTCATTGTCCTGACTGACCAGGTCTGTCTGCCTGATCTGGAGGCTAGAATTTGGTGGTAAGGGGACTGCCTGGATGAGGACATAGGGATCTATGGTAAGGTATTTGGTTAATCTAGTTTGGAAAGCTAGTCCTGGGACTTGAGGTGAAGGAATTGGAGCCCCCCGTGAGAGATGCTGTCAATGGAAGGGATGAGGATGGATGAGAATAATGGAGTAGGGAGGCAGTGAGCTTGATCTTTCTTACCAGAGTCCTGACTGAACAGATCTGTCTGCCTGATCCAGAGACTGGGAATTTGGAGGTGTGCAACAATTCTTTATGGAAGGGCTTGTCTAGTTTTCTTCCTGTAGTATGATAAAATTATCTATTAAACAACTTAGGGGAATAAAGGTTTATTTTAGATCAAAATTCCAGGTTATAGTCCATTACTGTGAAGAAGTCAAAGCAGTAGTAAGTTGAGACATCAGTCAATGGCAGGGTGAAATTAATCCATGCATGTTCACTCACTTGTTTGCATGTGCTCAGCTTGATTTCACTTTTATACAGGCTATGACCCCTTACCTAGGAAATGGTACAACCCACAGTATGTTGGGTCTTAGCGTAATTAAGACAGTCCTCCCACATCATGCTAACTCATTGAGTCTCTCTTCCCATGTGATTCTAGGATATGCCAATTTGACATTACAGCTAACCATCACAGTGCTCTACCATCTTTCATTCTTCCCATCAATACGTGCATAACACAAATTTCTCCTTAAACTTGTCAACATTTATTGTTCTCAAATATATGTAATTAATTCTGATTTAAAAGTTAGCAAGTCTAATGTGATGACCTAACAGCTTTTTTCTAGTTTTGATTATCATTCTGTTAATAGCTAATGAAGGTGAATATCTTTCAATACGGAACCTGATATTTTTCAGAAGCTCTTCTGCCTATTCTGCACTTAGATTGTTACTTTTCTTTATCCTTTTTTTTTTTTTTGAGTTGTGAATTGTTGTTCTTGTTTCTTTTCCTTGCCTTCCCTCTCTCTAATGTAAGTATAAGTCTTTTGTGGGATAGCTCAAAAAATTATTTTCTCCATTGAATAACTTTCTTTCAATTCCTTCAAAGTGCCTTTAACAGAGTGTGATCGTTAGTTTTAAATGTCAACTTGCCACAAACTATAATCGCTTGATAGGGACTCTTGATTGAGCAATTGTCTAGAACAGGTTGAACTAACTGTCCCCATACCTGTGAGGGACTATCTTAATTGCCTTAACTGAGATGAAATGGAAGACTCACCCTGAACGTGGCAAGCACTGTGCACTGGGCCCTGAACTGTATACAGATCTTGCTAGAGCAGGCAAACAAGGAAATAGTTTTATTCTCTGTTTCCCTTGACTGTGGACATGATGCAACTCTCTGATTGAGATCCTTGACTTCCCTTGACTGTGGACATGATGCAACTCTCTGATTGAGATCCTTGACTTCCCTTGACTGTGGACATGATGCAACTCTCTGATTGAGATCCTTGACTTCCCTTGACTGTGGACATGATGCAACTCTCTGATTGAGATCCTTGACTTCCCCCAAATAGTGGATGGTTACCTGGAATTGTAAGCCAAATAAACCCTGCTCACTTAAGTTGCTTTTTGTAGGGGTATTTTCACAGCAACAGAGTGAAACTAGAGCACAGAGTATGCAAAAATTTTAAGAGGTCTGGTATTTAGTAGTTAAGATGTTATACCACTTCTTAATATATGTTAACACAGAGATTATTTAAATTCAAAAAAGTAAAAAAAAATTATCTTGCAAGTATTTTAAAGTTGATTCAATCATTTTTAAAGTCAGTTTCCAAAGAGTACACAGTTATGAAGGTTCTAAATGTTACACTTTAGAGTTTGGAATGATGAAACTGATGGTGATACTATAACTGGAGCTTCTCTCTCTCTCTCTCTCTCTCTCTCTCTCTCTCTCTCTCTCTCTCTCTCTTTTTATAGGTTCTGTGGCCACTGCATGCCGTGATCCTGGAGTCCCCATGAATGGAACGCGGAATGGAGATGGACGAGAACCTGGGGACACTGTTATTTTTCAATGTGATCCTGGATATGAACTTCAAGGACTGGAAAGAATAACCTGCATTCAGGTAGAAAATCGATACTTCTGGCAGCCCAGCCCACCAGTCTGTATAGGTATGATCAAAGAATATTTAAATTTTTATATAAGTATAATACAATAGTTAAAATCTGGTATTGATGTTAAGTACCATGTTCTGGAAAAGTTATGCACAGGAGCCTGAAATTTCAGAGGACCATGGACTCCCCCCAAAATGTACAGTATTCTAAAGGGTTATTACCATTTTCTGTGGGTTTAGTCCATAATTTCATTATAATCAGAAATATCTTTAAATAGGTATTAATCAAAGCTCTCAAAATAACTTGTTCATCCTTCGTGTACTACCTAGATACAGTGACCTTTTACTTTAAAATTTATGGAGATTCAGACTGTATATTTAAAATGAGCTATATTGACAGTGTATTTATGCTTAATTTTTCTAAAAAAAGAAAATTTTACTAAAATCTGTGTTAGAATGTCAAAGTTTAGATTTCTCATTTAAGTAAGGTATAGCAAAAGAACATCAGCTTTTCTTTTTATCTAAGGAGCTGCAAGACCTTGATCTAGGTTTCCATTTATCTGAATTCTATCTTCATCCTCTATCCTCAGATCCCAAGTCAGACTCTAGAAATCAAGTTACAAATATTTCAGACCTAGATCTGAAAAAGAGCTTAAAAAAATGACTACTTTTAAAAAGAATAAAGAAAATCTGCTCTATAATTAAATTGCTTTAATCCTAACCCTTTTCCTTCAAGTGATAGTGTGGTTGTCATCTTGAATTTGTAATATATTTTTATTAAACTGTGCTTATGGTCTACTCAAAATTTAATTTATTTAGATATTCAGTATTTTGTTACCATAAGTAACTTTAAAGAGGATTCTATACCATTTCACTATTATGCTTTTAAGCATTTGGCATATGCAAATTTAGCATATTTTAGAGAGAAAATCTTACTTCGATTAATTTATACTCAACTTATAAGTATATGTTCAATATAGTTTCACAGTGATTTATTTTTGAAAATCACATGTAAATAGGAAATGAATTTTCAATACTTCTGTCAGTTGCACACTAATTCAAATACTCATTTATTCCAATTTGTTTTATTCCATGTTGTAACATCTGATCAAAAAATTGTAAAATCAAGTGCATTAGTCATTTAATGTGTCCTATCTACTGGAAATTTGCCAATATAATAATGAAGTTATCTGTCCTTATCATTACTTCTCATGAAACTAAATTTTTTAAAAATCTGTATTTTTATATCAAATTTTCTATATTTTATATGTAAACTTTTAAAACACAACATTCACAATCATGTTCAAAGACCTAAAGCACCTGGGTAGTAAAATGGTAGTTTTAAACTCCTCTTTTAAAAATGAGGCACGCGATGAGGAACCAATATAATGAAAAATACTTTTTAAAGCATACCAAAATATAATGACATAGCTATGTCAGTTTAGACTGAAGCATATCTCCCTTTACATTTTATTTATTTACAGCTATGTAATTTAAATTATCAAGTATCAATTTATTTTTATTTATTAAAACAATCTGTAAAAGCTGAGGTAAAAAAAATTTAAGAAACTTCTTAAGTAAAAGTGACAAAATTGTGTTAAATATATTTAAGGTTTTCACATGTTTATTTACTAGTTGGTTAACTTGTGATATTCCAATAAATTTAAAATTTTATATTCTAATTTACTAAAATATGATGACATCTTATAAAGAGAATTTCTGCACACACAAAAAAGATATAACTCCACAAAGTTGCCAAAGACTATCTTGCTTTATTGTAATTAACATACTTGAATTATCACTATTATGACTATGAATGATGCATTATAATGAAATTATTTTTTAATGTACAGTCCTAAAATACTGAACAGATTTATACTGAACCTTACAGAAAACAATAAAATTCAAAAATCAAAAATTTCAAGTGTTCTGAATTAGGCTATTAAAAACTTCCATTTATAAACTACAATATTGTTTACCTAACAGGTCCTGATTCTAAGAAAGTTGAACACTAAACCTTACTTAAATACAGCAGGGTGTGCAGCTTTTTTGTATGGATTATGGTACTGTGCATTACTCCTTTGGAAGGAAAAGATAGTTTCAGGAGAAGACATGCATTAGAGCTTCTCTGAGGGTGAAAATAACTTTTTAAAAGAATCTGAAAAATTGCTAAGGCTGCAGAAAACTTGACCCCTGAAACTGATAAGAAAGAATCTGTGATTGGAAATACTATGCCAAAGATTAAACCCTGAACTTTTTAGAAGCTCCTTAAATCTGTGTCTCAGACCTGGGAGCATAAAGCATTTTAAATGTGTGTGGAAGAAGTGAGCCTCATAGCAAGTTCCAAACAGAAGGACGTCGTCTTTAGAGAGTTAATAGAATTCATTCTAACAAAACTGACAGTGTGAAGATTACTTTGACATTGCCAGAGGGAAAGTAGCAGCACTCAATATGAAGGTAAATAACAAAGACATTAGCGTGGGTGGGCTGCTGAGAAAGACAGGAGACAGGAATAAAATTGAATTGGCAAAAAAATTAAGAAGATTGTAGAATATATCCACAGTTGCTGCCCATGTAACTGCCTCACAGAAAATACACTCAGAACAAAACGTTCGTGTCAAAATTCCAAAAAAACTTACTGGTATTTAATTTAATTCATGGGTATCTTTGACTTGTATTTTAGTTACTTCGTGACTAAACATGTAAAAATAACTATGGATTTCTAAATGCTATTTAAAATTGAAGATATTTGAAAATAGTATTATTTACTCACTGATTGTCTAGAATTTAGAATGTCGGATATTTTTACTGTTTTTCTGGCTCTTGTACATTTTCAGACTCAACCACAGTTATAAAATATATAAAGAAAACATTAATAATATAAATAATGTAGTAAAATAATTTTAGAAGCCTTTAAATCCTGAATAAAAGTAGAATCATGGACAATATACAGTAAGACACTTACATACATATGTAATGAATTTCCTTATCTTTATTCATGAAGGATACACATGAATAACACCTGTACATACAGCTGTATAAAATTTCTACAAATACAAAAAACAATATTCCTAGTAGCAAATAAGGAAAACTGAAACAAAATTGTTTCCATTCTGTAACACATTACATATAATCCCACTCCTTAGTACTTGAAAAAAAAATCACAAGAAATATTTTGTATCATTCTGGTCTTTTATGCACAACATGTATGTATTTGCACTTGCTATTATGCACCGTTTTGCACATTTCAATATCATTCATGTTAAAAATCCTAAACACAAATTAAGCTGTTGATTTCATCGGAACATAAACCTACACATTAGATTGCACATCCATCCATTCAGTCAGTTTACTTTGACAATCAGCATAAAGAACCATTTACAAGTTAATGAACTTTTGTAGAGTATGTCGCTTGCTGAATTCCAGGTATAAAGCACGATATAAAAGACAGACCAGCTTACATGTTTGTTGGGAATGCTGACACCTGAATCGAATATTTAAAAGAAACATGTCTGGGGAAAGGGAGATAGTCAGAAGATGCTACGTGAATCACCCCATGTCCAGTCTAATCTAGCAGAACTGTGAAGCTTTCTGAAAGAAGTTCCTGGAGGCAGTGATGCTTATTCAAACATAAGTGAAATTACATACATGTAGATAGGAAAAAAAAACATTTCAGGAAGAAAGAACTTCATAAACAAAAAAAAAGTACATGATATTGTAAGGGTTTTTGTGACTGGCAAGCTGGCTCAGCAGGTAAAGAAGCTATCTGTTGTTTGAACACTCGCATTTAATCCCTCGGACCATGTGGAAGAAGAAAATCAATCCTGCAAATTGTCCCCTGTCCACGGCTGAGGTAGCATGTACGCACTTGCACAAACATATATAAATAAATTTATTTACATTTTTTCATAATATTTTGAATATAATTTATATATCTAACTTGATGGTTGATGAGATTGCAGAAGCTGTAGGGGTCAGGTCATACAGCTGTAATGTTGCTGGGGAATCATCTTTTAGGTTTTAAGAAATAACTGCAGACTTTTGTACTTCTGTGATATGATTATATGCTTGGGGGATGATAAATTGATGGAGACTAAAAAATGTCAATGTCAGTTAGATCATGAAATATGGTAGGTAGTAAGGAAGACAAGTCCAGCTGAAATATATCTATGAGGTAGAGTCTTGAAAGATGTCCTTGATGAGTGAAGTGACTCAGTGACAACTCCCGGGCTCCTTACTTAGACATACAGGTGATGATAATGTTAATCAAATAGCTAAGGCAAAGGAAGAGACTCAAAATTGATTTGATGTTTAGATATTTTAGATATTATATGCTTGTTGTACCAATAGATTACCAGGTAGACATCAACACAAATACATAGACATAGGATTTATAATTCATCAAAGATTATATGTAGGAGGAGGCAGGAAAAGTGGTCTTCTCTTTATTAAAAATGGCAGATAAAGTCATTCAATTGGACATGGACTACAAGGAAGACTGCAACAGAATAAAAATTAGAAGTACTAGATAAGGAACATAAACCAAAGCCCAGGCTAGAAAGTAAAATAAAAGAGTTTCACAGCACAGGGGAAATAAACAGTAGACCCCAATCTTAGCTGAAGAAATACTGGCAACTGATTACTGCTATGTGAGGAAGAACTGTTCTTCCTAAAACAAGAGACTCTAGATAGGCTGACTGGTCCTCAGTGAAGGGACTTGCACTGGGGAGCGTCTAGGTACACGGACTTGACAGTGGGCCTTAACATGGATGAAAGAGTATATGGGTTCCAGTCAGGGGGCTATGGAAGGGTGCCAGTGGGGACAGGGGGATAAAGATGATTAAGATTGTCTGAGATATTCTGTATGAAAAACAAAACAAAAAAATCAATAAAAACAAATTTTAAAAAACTGAGGTCTGTGAAAATATACTAGAAGAAAATTAAAAGTTGAATTGCAGAAAGCAGCACAGTGACTAATGTAAAGTGAGGAGTTAAGAAGAAAATAATGTAGACATCTCCTTTATCCTTGCAAATTTGTCATTTAAGGTTGATCCAAGAATTGCTTACTTTAGAATCAAAGATACTGATAGAACTAGTAGTTTAGGAGAGCATTGCAAGAAAAAAAAAAAAAAAAGACCCAGTAAAGACAATGGATCCCCAAGAACAAAAGATTATTTTGTCTGACTATAGTTTAAAATAAACACAATTCTAAACCTTAAGATTATTTTTCTCATGATGAATATTTTGGAATTTTTTTGTACAAGTAATTACAGCATATAGTTAAAAGACAATGAGGCTAGATTTTCCTTTCCAAAGATCTAGGTATATCAAATCAAATTTAGTAAGGCAAGACTTTAAAGTACATTATTGCATATGTGGAGATGTGAAGATCAGAAACTATTGGAATAAGTTAGAGACTATTACAACAGGGAGAGCACTGTGGTCTGAGCTCTGAGGGTATTACAAGGCTGAGCCAGAAGGGATTTTTCTTCTGAAGAAGAGACCCACCAAAACTAAAAAAAAAAGGGAGTAGATGAAGTGGTAGTCTGGTTGGATAGCTCAGAAAATGCTGCAGTCTGATTACAGCCTATTTTCAGAAATATATGCCTGCTCAAGGCTGACAATGGGACAAAGTTGAGGTTTGAAAGGGAAGCTTAACTGAAATATGGTTGACTTGAATTTTATACAGAATGATAAGTGGGTGATGAACAGCTAGACCTTTGAAGTTTTTGTCATAGGTAAGAAAAAAGTGGGAGGCTGTTTATGCTATGAGTCAGTTTTAACTATACATTATGGAGAAGCATGATTTCTTGTAATAATTTGTTTTTCTAAAACAAAAAAAGAATGAATTTGAGGATTTCTTAAACATCAGGTAAACTTGGACATCGGTAGAAAATAAAGTTGAAAAGGAAAGGTCATAAGGAACATTTCATGTTTGGGATAAAAGACTTTAAGGAAGACAGTTAATGAAGAAAGCTTCTGGAGAAGAAAGAAGGACTCATGTCAGGCGGAGAGTGCTTTCTTTATTAGGAGTGCTCTTTTTCCCCTGATTGACCCACATTGTATTTGAAGTCGGAAGAGTACAGAAGGTCAAGATGTTTCCTATCTAATCATTGACTAACATACCGCCCAAAATGCCACAAAAAGTATACAGGAAGTAAAAGCAGTGAGGAATAAATTATGCCTAAGCAGTGCCACAGGACCTGAGGTCACCTTCTAGAGGGAAGGGTAGTGGCAATGAGAACAAGGTGGTGAATATCAAATATTGTCAAATTGAATTTTTGTTGAAGTCGATATAGGAAAGAACAGAGATGCTGAAATATTGATCAAGCAAACAAAAGGAAGGGAAGGAGGGAGGGAGGGAGGAAGGAAGGAAGGAAGGGAAGCTTCTTTTAAATCCAATTTTTGCCATCAAAAGAACCTGTTTGCCTTTTGACTGACTGAGTCCTAACTTTTATATAAGAATAAAACCCAGGCATGAAAAGATGTTGATTATTTAGGAAGCCTTGTGATCATGTAAGAATTCCAATAACACACATGTGTGCTTGTGTATGCTCCCCAGTCTGTAATCCCACTACTGAAGACCTTATTTTCTGAGAATAGTCATGTTCCCTAAAGAACCTCTGAATCTCACTAGCAAATTGTTGAGTCTCTCCACTGATTTTAGAAACTTTTGTTTACAACTGAAATACTAGGTATAATTGCCTACTTATATCAAGTCAGTAAATTGGATGTTTGGAATATCTTTATTTTCAATGTAAGAATGTTTAAAAGTAATCCAAGTTTTTAGATTGCCCCTTACAGTTACTCATTAATTATTGCCAAATTCTTTCCTCCACAAATACTATAATATACCAGGAACAATGTGAGAATAATCCAAGCACCACAAATCCTATTTTTACATTTATTATCATTACTATTTTTTGAAGCAGGGTCTTACTATGTAACCCCCCACTAGCATGAAATTCACAGTTGTCTTGTCTCAACCTTTCACATGCTTTTTAAAGGGATATGCAACCTTTACTCACCCATTAACTATGTGAGATTTTTGCTTTGCTGTTTCCTTTCTTTTTTTCTCTAGTAACTTTCAGATTTCTTTTCTAGTAATTATGGAGAAGCAATGCTTCTATCTCTCTCCATTGTTTTTCAGTCTACAGGATACAAAATAGTAACACAAATAAGAGTACACATGACTTTTAAAAGCTGGTAAAGCAGTTAAATTCAATATATTCTTCTCTATACTGTTTTGAGCATTTGAATGGCTTTCTTGAAAGACAGTGAAGTATCCCAACAACCAGTCATAAAGTGAATTCAGTGCAAAATCTCATATACCCTCGAAGAAATGTTTTCACAAATTTTGACAGTTAATGGGTTTTATTAATCTCTTAAGGTATTTTGTTTGCTTGTTTAAATTAAAGCACCTTGTGGAGGCAATTTAACAGGATCTTCAGGCTTTATCCTTTCGCCAAACTTCCCTCATCCATATCCGCACAGCAGGGACTGTGACTGGAAGATTGCAGTCAACACGGACTATGTGATCTCCTTGGCATTTATTAGGTGAGTTCTTACACATTCCCATGTTACAAAATCTCTTTGGTCAATTTATTTTTCCATTTGTGCTAAGTAAGTTATTTCTATACATGACTTATGAAAATTAATATCAGTATTAATACTTCACAGTGGACAAGATGCATATCCTTGATAATAGCATAATTCTGCAGAGCAGTGGATGAGAATTATCACCTGATTTCCAGTACAGGAGAATGGGCTAGAAGTACAGTGGATTACTGAATCACAAACTTTGGTCTCTTTATAAGCCTTTTTTTTTTTTTTTTTTTTTTTTACCTTCTCTGTATTTATAACTGTTTCAAAAATTCAGCTTTTCTTAAACTTCAGGATTAACTGGTCAGTACTTCAGTGTTTTTTGTCTTGTTTACACCCCAAAACCCTTTTTTACCATCTGAAAACGCATGTAGTCCTGGGTTGGGGAGGATCTACATTCTTAATTATTTTCTTTTTTGTTGTCTCATCAAGTCCAGCTAATTAAGAAGAATTCAATGGGTCATGCCTGTTGATTTGTCACAAAACTGGTTTTATGCTAGAGGTTTACATGGGAGTATTCCAAAGTTTACATTCATGGTTTCCAGTGTAAAATTACAGGATAAGCTTTATAATAAAGTCGTAAGCACAAAGTTGTATGGGAACTAAGACAGGTGGGTTTGAGTTCTAGCTCTGCTATTGTTATTTCTGTTACCCTGAGTAAGTTCTTTATTTGAATACATCTGGTTCTCCTTGTGTGACACCAATAATGTATTACAAAAGATATCCCCTTTCAATTTAAGGTTTCAGTGGGAGGGATTGGGAGTGTAGAGCTGTGATAGAGCAACTGCCCAGCAGGGACTTGATGGTGAGTTCAGTCCCCAGCTCCTCAGAGCAAAACAACACAATAGGTTAAGTACCATTTAAAAACACTATAATTTTTCTAACTAGAAGTATTTTTCATGTTCACCAAGAGTGATGTAATCAATCAGTTAACTCTAAGTACCACAACCCTCCCTTTACCTCCAGTATTCTACTGGTGCTTAGTATTTATGCAAAATGTTTAAACTTAAACTTAAAATATGTTCTGACATACTGAAGTCACTTTTCAAAACTATAATTTAAAGTCATGAACATTTAAGAAAACTGTAGAATTTCTACTTCTATAACTTCTAGTGCTGTACAGCTAATTGTTCACACCAAGGCAATGATGTTGAAGTTCTTAGTTATTTCAGGACTTTGTCACAAGAACTTCCTGAAATAAAGACAATTATTCCCATTGTTGTTACTGAAGAAATGGAATCTTAAGACAATAAAAAGTATTAATATGTTTGATACAAGTCTTAGTTTCCTTTCATATAATTTTTATTTATTATTTTTATTTTATGTATATGTGTGTATTTCCTGCATGTATGTAAGTGCACCTATGCCATGTAATGCCTATGGAGGACAGAAGAGGTCATTCAAGTCACCTGGAACTGGAGTTACAGACAGTTGTTAACTGCCATATGGGTGCTAGGATTCGAACCTGAGCCATCTATCCAGCCCTTAGTTTCCTTTTAAAAGTCAGCTAATAATGTGGGGAGAAAAGGCTATATTTCCAGAAATACATGAGAGATATTTGATTTTCAATTCTGTCATTTATTAAGTGAGGTCTTTGGATTTTCAGGGCTTTAGAATACTCACTGGCAAACCGAAAATTATAATCCCTTTTCTTATATTACAGGATTATTGGCAAGACTGAATTAATATTTATGAAAATGCCATATTTGTGAGAATGTGCCATTCTCCCTATATTTGTGTGATTGTTGGATCCTTAAATTTTCTACAAAAAAGAATTTGTTTCACTTTTATTTTCAAAAAAGCTATAAATCAATACTTTAATCACTTCACACAAACCGAGACTATATGAAGAAATGTCCTATGATAACTCTTAGACCACTTTCAGCATTCCACACACAGAAAATACTGCTGTGTCCTTTGTAGAACACTTGTTTCCATTGATCATCCCCACAGGCCCCACAGGGAGATAGACAAGGAAGTTGCTGGTGAAATCAAATGTTGAAAGAGAGGAAATTCAAAAGGCTGGGTTCTGTCCTACAACAAGTATAAATGAACTCAGGCCTAACCTTCTTATTTCAGGTCTATATTATTAATAAGTACCAAATTTCAAGTCTTGAATTTACTGACAAGATTTAAGATTAATAAGTAGGAGTTGGCAAGCTACTCAACCAATTTAAATAAAACATAGTAGTTCTGAGTTTTCCTAATTTTCTCATGTTAAAGACCACTTCACATATGAAAGGGCTGGTAATCTGTGCACCATCCTCATCTATCTGTCCTCACCACCAGTTAGTTATTCGTTAATAAACTCAGTAGTTGAACTTATCTCTCTTATGTAGAAAACCTTTAAGGATAAAAATGTTTGTAGACACTTGGTAATAAATTCTGTATATTTGCAGTATCTTCATCTAAGAAATCACACATAAGTACAAAAGTGATTAATGACAGAAGAGTTTCCTTATTGAAGTTGGTTTAACAGTAACAAGTTTTCATTTATTATCATGAATTAGTAGACGTTTCTCAATAATCCAAATGAGTTCAATTTTTTTCCTTCTTTCTGAACCACTGTATAACACCAGGTAATAGATCAATTGATGATTTAGTTCCACTTTCTAAATATGGGAACTAGGAATACTAAGAGATAATTCCCATAAGTTGTAAGGTTAAAGCAAATTTATTATACAAATATATCAATAATCAACTATTGTTTTGAAACAACTACATCAAAAAAACTATTGTATCATTATTTATTTTGAAAATGTATTAGTGTGCTTTTCTCTATGTTAAACTGTATTTATATATTATATACATACTTTCAGAAACAAGATGTCTAATATAGTATATAATGTTTCACTGAGTAATTTAAAGCAACCTGTGTTTTTTTTCTGATTGAATCTGAGTTGATTTATTTTTAAATCTTCAGTTTTAGAACCTCAAGGCAAATATAAACACTCCAAAAGAAAAGAAAAGAGCTGCATAGTTGCATCTTTACGACATAAAATACATGAGCGAATTTTTTAAAACTTATTTTGTCTTTCACTTTGCTGATGAAAAGTAACTTTCAAAAGGATATGTAGGTAAAAGAGGCAGAAATAAGGCTCAAATTATAATCTCAGATCCCCTCCAGATAAGCTCTCAGTGTGAGCTATTTGAAGCTATCAATGACTTTTCTCGTTTCCTACTACTGATTTGATAGTCATATTCCATAGGTTTATTGTCATAAAAATTTTTACATTGGATTTTCTGGGGACCTATTGATTTTTGAAACAATGAATATATGATTCTATGATTACTTGTGTAAATATCCTTGTGATAATCATTTGTATTTGTATTTTCTTTCTGTCTCAGTTTTAGCATAGAACCAAACTATGACTTCCTGTACATATATGATGGACCCGACAGTAATAGCCCATTGATTGGAAGTTTTCAAGACAGCAAGTTGCCGGAAAGAATAGAAAGCAGCTCAAACACCATGCATTTGGCTTTTCGGAGTGATGGGTCTGTCAGTTACACTGGGTTTCATTTAGAATATAAAGGTAAATATGAACATCCAATTTTAGCATCATGATTTAAACTGCAAGTAATTTTTGCAAGATAATTTTTGTACTGGCTGTTGTCAGTTTTAGTTATACGTGCACTTTGAAATGCAGGCTATGTACAATTCATTTCACAAAAGGGCTCTCACTGTAGAGTTTCCCATCAGTGAAAAGAAAATTAGCATTCGTCTAATTACTACCCAAGGAAATGTATCAGGCGAACAGATTAGTAATTAGTATGCTGTGGTGATAGGCGAAGGCCACAAAATACTTAATAGAAAAAACTACTTCAATTACTTGAATTTTTTGAGGAAGGAAGCTTAGGTTTCACTCAAGCACTTTAATTTAGAGCCCATTTTTAGAGAAAAAGAGAACAAAGTATACGATAATATATTTCAGAAAATGTTTACAAATATTTTAAATGTCAATACTCACGACAGAAAGAACAAAATATGCATTCTAAATGTTTCTAAAAGTATTTAAATAAATTATTTTAGAATGCCTTTGGATATTCTAAAAAATAATGCTTCCTGATGTAGTTTTTTTCTTATTTTAATTTTGAATTAATATGTGAAAGCCTGAATTGCACATATTTTGGATTATCATGTGATGTTTCAATACATGTAATATTTAAATCATGGTAAATATGTATATCTCCTCAAATATTGCAGTTTGCTTTATTTTATTCTATTTTGTTTGTGAGTGTGTATGTGTACATGGTGTGTGCAGGTGTTGGCATGGATGTTTGTACCCATGAAAGTACGTACTGAAGGTCAGAGGAATATATTGTGTGTCTTGCTGTATTCCTTTCTGCCTATTCCCAGAGACAGGGTCTTTCACTGAACCTGTCACTTATCAGTTTGGCTAGGCTAATAGCCAGCTATCCCCATTGATCTTTCTGTTTCTGTCCCTTATACTCACCACCAGGGTTAGAGATATCCTGGGCTGCATTTAAGTTTAAGTGATTACCATGAGTATCAAATCAGGTTTCCATGCTTAAATAGCAAGCACTTTTACCCATAAGCCATCTCCCCAGCTCCCATTTTTTAACTGAAAATTATATAGAAGAAAAAATAAATAAATTCAAAGCACCCACTCAGTGAACACCATTCACACGGTGCCATGTTTGCTTAAGAGCCATTTATTCTTATTTTAGTAAGTCAAATATTATCTGCAATGACTTGTCAGTGGCAGAATACACAAACTGATGGCCATGGACAGCGAGGATTTGGGGTGCTATCTGTTTATTGGGATTATCTGCAGGTGCTAGTTTATATGCCCCTGAGCCTGTGGGCTAGACAGTCAGTGGTATTGAGGAGAGCTGTGTTTGAGCACCATATAACTTATTCTTTCTGCCTGGAAGATACAACCTACATCCAATCCTGGGATTCAGCTAAATGGCTAGGCAAGAAAACTGTAGTGTACACTTAAGGTAGCTTTCAGACATCCTTGCTACTTTCATGACAATGGCCTCTTAAACCTGAATTTGGTAACTACCATTTACATGTGTGCCTGCTTATACTTACTTTTATATTTTCTTTCATGCATACATTTGTCCTGTTTTCATACAACTTTTACATTGTCATTATGTGTGTATTAATGTTTTTCCTTAAATGGTTGTTGAAGTTTATCAATGTGAGACAGATGGTTCTTACTAATTTCCTTACCATGTTCTTTCTTCTAGCAGTGCTATCGTTAATGTGTGTTCTTTTTCTGATAGGTTATTATAGTACTGCTGTGAATGAATCATGATGCAATGAATACTTTTATGTGTCTTCTTGATATATTTGTGAGAGTCACATTGAAACATTTGTGTATGTGCTAGTGCTGGATTATCAGGTCCAAAGGTTTGAACCTCTTCAATTCATTTCATATTGCCAAGTTATTTAGAGAATACCGAGAGTCTGTTCCAATTCAGACTGAATGTCAGAAGATAAGAGCTTAAAATACTCAATCGTTTTGAAAAATCAGTGCTTTTGCCAAATTTTAAAGTTGTTAATTTCATAGTTATTGGTCATTCTCATTTGATTTCCTTTACTCCACTTAGTATTAAGTTGATCCTATCTTCGCTATTTTGCATACTCACAGCTCCTTTTCAAAATCTGTGTCATCCTACCATTACACATTTTTCTAGTTGGTTTTCTGGTTTTATTTTATTTATAGGAACTATTTTCTCTCATGGAAATTACTACTGCATAACATTTATGTTATCATTAATACCTCCATCTTTGACGAGTAGAGTTTCACTTTTTCTCTGTGTTCTCTGTTATACAGATTTTTTTTAATCTGTAGCATATTTAATTCTTCCTTATCCTCATAATTTATACTTCTGTCTGGGTTTAAAAGACGCTTCTTGCCAGGTGTGGTGGAGCATGCCTTTAATCCCAGCACTCGGGAGGCAGAGGCAGGTGGATCTCTGTGAGTTTGAAGCCAGCCTGATCTACATAAGGAGCTCCAGGCCAGCTGGGGCTAAAGGGAGGCCCTGTCTCAAAAAGACCAAAAAAAAAAAAAAAACCTTTCTTTATTACAAGTTTCATACAAACATTCCTTTCTGTTTGTTTCTAAAGTTTTGGGCTTTACTTTTCACCTTTATGTCTTAAACATATGTGGAACCTATTTTTGTGTAAGCTAGCAATCTCGTTTCTTTCCATGTAACTGATTGCTTTAGCAGCACTTACTGAGAAAAAATGCTATTGCTTTCAAATATCAAATCTGTTAGCCATTTTTTTCAACTCTCTAGAGAGTTCCACTGGCCTCTTTTTCTGACTCCATGCCAGCATCTTTACTAACATTTCAACAATAATTTAAAATAGGCCACAGTACAAGGTGTACAGCACACTATTTAGTGAGACGTTTCATTGCTGTATCAAAATATCCAACAGAATTATTTAAAATTAGAATCCATTTATTTTGGCTCATGCAGGCCTTCAGAGTTTTCAGAGTCTGCCCCACTGTTCCTGAGCCCTGGTGGGGCAGGTTCACGGCCATTCTTGCTGAGAAGCACTCAGTTGCTCACCTCTTGGCAGCTAAGTAGCAGAGAAGAGAGGGACTCAGAGCAAAATTCTGTCCTCCTTGACATGTATCTTCCCATGACCTGCTTCAAGCCTCTAGACCTCACCTCCTGTAATTTCCCAAACCTCTCAAAATAGCCCCCTCCTTTGGGGACTAGGCCCAGAGCAACATTTCACATTCAAACTGTAACAACTTTCTTTTTTAAGTTTGTCCTGGGTACATGTCACAACATTTTGAACTTCTTTTAGTTTTAGAATTAAGCTTCTTCTATGTATTGAATTTGATTGGCACTACACTGAATTAACAAATTGTTTGGGAATAAATTGATGTCTGACATATCATCTTCCCATCTATTAATATGGCAAGTCGCTCAATTTGCTCATGTTTCTTTAATGTCTTTGAGGAATTGTCTATAATTTTCTTCATAAAATCTTCCTCATTTTAATTTAAATGTCTTACAGTTTTACAGGTAATAAGTGATGCCTTTATTGTATGATATCCTTGTTGTTGTTAATAAGAAAGCCACAGTCATATTTTATTATTTCTTGGATCTGTCAAAGTTACTTAACTTTCACTGATATAATAATACTTCTGTACAGTTTTAGATTGTCTTTACAGTGTGGATTCTCCTTCTTTGTAATCTACTCATATTTCATCATTGTTTCTTAGCTTATTGAATGTTCCATATTGGAATTCCAATATCTTGTTAAATAACAGCAGTGATCACAATTAATACTATATAATTGATGATATTTTTTAATGAATTTAATGTCTAACCTTTAAACATTGCTCTTCATTTGGAGCAATATAAATGAAGACCTAGCTTTTTGGCTCTTATTGTACTCTGGTACATTAGGAAGTGATATGCATTAAAAATTATTTGCTTTTGTAAATGACAATTTTTCGGCAAAACCCATTTAAGTCCTTGCTTAAAAGCATGTGGCCCACAGTCTAGAATCTTAGCCAACATTTTGTAATATCTTGAAACACTGTCAGATAGAGAATGTCTCTTCTTTTACCTTGCTAACCACCTACACGTATACTAAAATGCAAGAATCTTAGGAGTTAAAACTTTGTCTGATTTATTCATGCCTATACATTGAGTGCATAGAATATTCCCCATACAACATAACTATGAAACAATTATTTGCCTTTGAGCAACAGGCTTTGAAATGTTGCATAAGTTTTCTAAAAGCATTGTGGTACTATTGCTATACCTATTGTACAGATGCTAGAATTAGAGAGATTAGATTGTTTGAATGACTTATGCAAGACTATCTCAATGTGTATGACCACAAAGAATAAAGTAAAGAACTTAGAAACAGAATGAAATACACAATCATATCAGCCCATTCTCCCTACCTACCACTTTCAGTCTTTACATCAATCCCCACTTATAATTCTAGAGGAAATCTTATTTTTATACTATAAGCAATATTTATTTTCAACAATACACTTAAACTCTAATAATTAATTCTCTGTTTTGACCGTTAAAATTTGTCAATGAGAGAAAAGCTGTACTCCAGACACTGCTTCAGGACCCCAGGTTGATTCTTTCTATTGCTTTCCATATTTTTATTCTGCTTTAACTCCAGTTTCTGATACTATAACAAAAGACTTGAGGCTGGGTAACCTATAAATAGTAGGCATTTATTTCTACAATTCTATTGACCAAGATGTCCAATTCTAAGATGTCAGTATCTTGCAAAGACTGTCTTACAATATTTTCCATTGGCAGAGGTGAGATGATAAAAGAGGATGAAGCAGAGCAAGAGAGAATCAAATTTACAGGCAACAAATCCACTATTCATATTATCCATGTTCATGGTAATCAAATTGACTTCTAGGGTAGATTCCTCAACAGATTAGTCATATTTTATTAAGCTCCCCCATCTTCCAGCACTGTTACAGTGGTGATTAAATTGCAACATGTAAACTTTGGGGGATATAGCCAATACCAAGAGACTTTTCCTCTCTAATCATCTTATTTCTTTTTTAAAAAATATTATTTATTATTTTATTTTATGTGTACACATGTATTGACTGCATGTCAGTAAGTGCACTCATGTTGTGCAATGCCCACATGGGTCAGAAGAGGTTGTCAGATCCCCTGAAACTGGAGTTTCAGACAGTTGTTAGCTGCCATGTGGGTGATGGGATTCTAATCCAGGTCTTCTGCAAGAAAAACCAGTGTTCTTCATCTCTGAGCCATCTCTCCAGCCCCAAATCATCTTATTTCTAGATATTAATGAGCTACCAATGAGTCATGGAATGAAAAACACTTCAGACTCCTCAAGCTGAAATTTATATCCCTAAAATGAAGTGAGAGAAAGTGGAAGCCCTGGACCACAAAAATGCTTTTCCTTGTCATTAATATATCCTAGCACTCTGAATCAAGGATGTTTGCTTTTCTTAGTACTAAAAAGTTAAAATTTTAGTAGGCTTTTATTTTAAACTTGATTTTATAATCTATGTTCATGTTTATCTTTAATAAAAGCTATATATGTATATATAAATGTGTAGCCGTATGCAGGCATATACTTATGTGTATATAAAGAATATTCAAGGGCTGGAGAGATAGAGCAACAGTTAAGATCACTGGCTGCTCTTGCAGAGGACACAAGTTTGAATCCCAGCAACCACATTCCAGCTAACAACCATCTCTAACTCCAGTTCCAGTGTTTCCAAACACCTCTTCCGACCTCACAGACACTGCATGGCATGATTGCACTTAGGTACATGTAGGCAAAACACTCAAACACATAAAATTTAAAAACTAAATAAATAAATTTAAAGAGTATTGAAGCAGTAAAAAAATATTGAAACCAACTGAGAAAAAATATAGTCTGATATATTTTATTTAAAGAGTAAAAGTAAGAAAAACAATTGATGTCTATGATTTGTTCATCAGACAACCCAATATTTCAGCAAGCAAATTTTTACTCATAAAGATAGTTCCATAAATTTGTCGTTTCATAATTTTTATCAGGTGCTTTCAATTTTTCCAAAGGTAAATGCAATGGCACACATGGTAGGAAACAAGCGCAGTATTACTCAAGGAAACCTACTCACCAAGGGTTGAAAGCAGTATATAAGAATCAGGAGGTAAATGAGTCTACTCAGGGCTGGAGAGGTGGCTCAGCAGTTAAGAATACTGATTGTTTTTACAGAGGGCCCGGTTTCCATTCCCAGCACCCACGTGGTGGCTACGGAACCGTCCTTATCTCCAGTTCCAGGGGAATCCAAAGCCCTCTCCTGATCGCCTGGGCATTGCACAACACGGGGGCACTTACATGCGACCAATACACTCATCCAGATGAAATGAAAATAATAAATAAAATATTTAATAAAAAACAAGTCTACTCAAACTAAATAGAACACACAAAAAAAATTCTGCACAAGCATTACTAAAAATATGTCAAACATGTCTCCCTATAAAAAGTAAAATAGGAGTGAGTGTGGGTTTGATCAAAACACCTTATATGCATATATGAAATTCTCAATAATTTTTTAAGTTAAAAAAAGTAAAATAATTGCAATATAGTTTCAATGACATATTATTGAAGCTGAGAACTTTTTTTTAAAAAAAGGAAAAGTTGACTTTGTAGATAATTAGTATTAGAAAAACTAGCAAGTTCAACAGGCGAATACTTTCAAACATTTATTAAATCCTTCCTTTTCCCATACATTTAGTTTACTTGTTGAAGACCAGGTTACTGTCCCTCTTAAATTGCATTGTGTTTCCTTGTCTATTCAGTTTGAGGTTTTATTCTTCAAAATAAACAAATTAAACTCACTATCCCTCTTTAGAGATCCAAGGGAGTAAATTGTCCTTCAGGATCTTCCCTGAAAACAGTGTTTTCTGAATATTTTATGTAGAAAGATCATGGTTTCTCCAGGATATCCCTGGGTGACTGTTTCCAGCACCTCTTGCAAGAATCCATGGATGTTCATGTTTCTTATATAAAGTGGTGTAGCTTTGTGTACAACTTACACACAACCCTGCATGTATATCGCATCATTCATAAAATGATATGCAGGCAGTTTTTATACTGTATTGTGTAGGGACTAATTATAATGTTTCTAATAGTTAAGTACAGATAGAGGTATGTTTGTCCTAACTACATGCTACACCAATGAGGTGCATGGTGAACAAACAGGTAGAGACTCCTGACCAGAAAGAGCCAGAGGCTCAAGCAGGGAGTGGCCTCACTTTGTCTCATTTGCATGGCTTCAGGGCAGTGCTGCATGTACAGAAAACTCAAATGTTGCTTTTTAAGGAATTCCTGACTTTGATTTTCTATTTGAATTTGAATAATTTTTATGCATGCTTAGTTGACTTTGCGTTGTGGAACACAGGGATACAGTGTACCTTGGTTTGAGAGGCAAGTTTTAGATAAACTGTGAATTTGAAAAATTACAATGTACTTTTGTGAGTATGTGTGTGAGAGTGTGTGTGCATGTGAGTGTTTGTGTTTGTGAGTGTGTAGGTGTGCACATGTGAGTGTATGTGTGTGAGTGTGTGTGTGTGTGTGTGTGTGTGCTCACACACGTGTGTCCTTGCTGGGGCTAGGGTCTAGATTTAAAAGATTAAGTCATTGAACTTGGATTTGACATTTGGGAATTCAATTTTTCTAGCTTGCACATGGTAGCTGTCTTTTCTTCATGCCCTTAACCTCCTTTTGACATGACCAGCTCTTCCTTCTCTCTCAATACTTAGATACTATTCTTCAGGAGATGAGCATGCTCCAAAGGATTCGTGTGAAATCATGTCTTCGAGCAATTAATATCATATAAAAACTGTTTTACAGCAAAACTCCGGGAGTCCTGCTTTGACCCAGGCAATATAATGAATGGCACCAGACTTGGAATGGATTATAAATTGGGGTCAACTGTCACCTACTACTGTGATGCTGGCTATGTTCTCCAAGGTTATTCGACACTTACTTGTATCATGGGAGATGATGGAAGACCTGGATGGAATAGAGCCCTACCAAGTTGTCATGGTAAAAGCATAATTTTTGTTGAGTTTTTATTGTTAGATGGAATCAAGAAATATGAAAGACAGTTCTACATTGTTTAACTTTAAAAAATTATTGAGCATTTCACACATGCATATAATGTGCTTTGATCAAATCCAAAGCTACTCTCTCCCCTCCAACTACTCCCGTATCTCCCCATCACTTTTTTTCTGACAACTTTGTGTACTCTTTCTTTTTGGGGGGAGGGGGGCTTTTTAAAGTCATCATTTAATATATAATATGAAATTGTGATATGGTAATGAAGAGATTTTGTAAAGTATTTTAAAGTAAATTTAATAAAGAAATTATTGGGAGAACTGCATATATTTTAGTGTGTCTATTTTAGAAAGAGAACTCTCTCAAAGACCAGCTATTTATATATTTTTGGCTCATTGAATACCTTTGGGATTAAGACATATTGCAATATACATAAAAATTGCTAGAAATGTTATCAAGAATTAGTGATCAACTCTTATTTGAAATAAGGATTTGGAAAATATGCATTTTTCCAAAGAAATAGATGTCTAAAAGAGAAAGTAATGCTTACATGTTTAAAAACCATATGCTTGGGGACTGGAGAGATGGCTCAGAAATTGAGTCCTGGCTGCTCTTGCAGAGGACCCGGGTGTGGATCCCAGCAGCCACATGGCAGATAACAACTGTCTGTGACTCCAGTTCCAGGAAATCCGACACCATCTTCTGACTTCCATGAACATTGCATGACACAAGTGCACTTACATACATGCAGGCTTACACTTATACACTTAAAATTTGGGAAAACATACATGTAATATGCTTGCATATAAAACCAACACAGGAAGGACAGAACAAAGAATATCAGTGTAGAAAAATAATACAGATGTCCTAAACAGTTGAAGATCCTAATGCATTGCACAAAATTGATACAGAGATGGTGTCAACTAGAAAATGTTCTCCAAACCACCAGTGAGACATAAAATCAATCTACTGGATCATGACAATCAGTTTTGCAGTAGATACAGAACTGAATCAAATAAAATTGAATTATAAATGAAGAAAAATATTCTAGTTCAAATAATAAAATTATTTTGTGAAACTTTTTTTAGTTGTATGCAAAGAAATATAAATATACATGTATTCAAGTGTATGGGTGACTGTATATGTATCAGTGTGTCAATTTGTGAATCGGACCATGATAGAAAAAGTATAATAAAAGTATATTTAGGGGCTGGAGTTAAGGCTCAGTAGTTAGGAGCACAGATTGCTCTTGCAGAGAACCCAGGTTTGGTTCCCAGCATCCAGATGGCAGCTAACAACTATCCTTTGCTCCCATCCCAAGGGACCCAGTGCCCTCCCCTGTATTTGAGGGCTTTATATGACATCAATGCACTTACATACATGCAGGCATATCACTCATAAGCCTAAAATAAAAGTAAATTTAAAATTTTTAAGTATATTTATTACTACAGATCTTATTAATAAAAAAAGAGAAAAAAACATGATTTGAGAATTCAAAGGTTTTGTGTGTGATGCATATACTAAATTTGCCTTGTAAATTATGTTCATTGGACTTGATTACTGTTGCCATGGTTCCTCATTTACCCATGTCATTTAATTTCTTTCAAGTTCGTTTTCTCCTACCACTAATATGAAATATTTGCTCAAAAATATTTTTGTAAGAAAAAAAGAATCAGGCTCTGATACAAGCTTGTCATCCCAGAATTTGGGAGTCTAAGGTAGGAAGTCTGAGTTCTCTCAGCGAGCCTGGCCTACAGCCAACAACTTGATTCAAAAACAAACAGTAACAACAACAAAAAAACAAAGAAACAAATCTGACTAGTGAGGTAGCCCGTGGTCAATGGAATGCTAACAATATATAAGTAAGTACTTCTGAAATAAAATTATTTGATAGGATCAATATTCCCTAGTAAATATACTAATCACTGGCCTAATAGTCTTACCTATACACACTTTTGAGGGTAGAGAAGGCCTGAGTTCTAATATGTCATCATTGCTATAACCTGAGGAAAGATGAACTTCAATTTTTAATTTTAAAAACTAGATTAATGCTTAATAATTGAGTAGATTGTGAAGTTCTGGTTAATAAACATTGCACTCACACACAGAGGGCCTAAGAAAGTTCACGAAAATATTGCATAGTAATGCACAGAGGTCGTGGTGTTCAGCAGTGCTCCAAAGAACCCAAGTGCCTGAAGATACACATTTCACTTGTGATTGTGTGTTGGGTTTCAGTCTAACAAATGTGCTTCTCTCATTTTGATGTTAGATTAAATGTAATTATTTTTGTTAATATTTGAGTATATTCATTTACTCTTCATGAAATAGGATGTAACTGAGTAGTTACAGCTTTCTTAAGATATAATAATTTTATAATCTAGACTTTTAACCAAAATGCAGTTTCATGGAGATCAAATAAAATTTGCAGAGTGGATTATTTTAAACCAGAAGAAAAAGGAATTTTAAGATAAATCATTAATATATACCATAGTTGAAGAAAATAAACTTACTATTTAAGAGTAGACTTATTTAATATTAGATAATATTTTGAAAAAAATATAGAGTCTGCTATGTGGCCTTGTTCAGTTTTTTAGGTAGTTTATCTGATCGTTAGACACTAGGCATGATTTATATTACTGTGCTTTATGAAATTGTTGGAAAATTATATTAAACAACTTATTTAAAGCAATAATCTTGTGGTTTTTACTCTCATATAAAAAAAGGAAATTTTTTAAAAAGAATTAAGAATATCTTGGACTTCTAGTCAGCATCACAGAAATCTATTGCTTTCCCTCCCAATAATTATGTGGGGACTAGCTAACTGTAATAATTTAATATTTAAAAGTCAGTTATTGTTTAAATCATATAAAATAGATCCAAAAGAATTCATTGTTAATAAAGACAAATTGTTTATTTTTAGAATAATTATATATATGTACTGAAATAATAAGGTGAAATTACTTATATTTAACTCAATGGTCATCTGCCCTATCCATATATATGTGTATATATATATATACACATATATATATTTCCTTTTCCCCTAGAAACTTATTTTCTAATAATTTCTCTATGATTTTTAATTCATTTATTTATTTTTAATGTGTATGAGTGTTTTTCTTGCATGTAAGTGCACTTTTACATGCAGTATCCCTGGAGGTCAGAGAGGGCATCAGATTCCCTAGAACTGGAGTTATGGATGCTTGTTAACTACCATGAGAGTGCTGGGAACTGAACCCAGATCCTCTGTGAGAGCAGCAGTGCTCTTTACCACTGAACCATCTCTCTAGCCCCTTCTCTATGATCTTGGTGGACATTTCCATGGATTAATCTGACATATGAATGTGTAGACAATGTCTGCTGAGCTTCTGATAGGAAAGACTGTTATGTTGCACTCACAACATTCTCTTCTATGTTTCTGAAGTATGTATTTTTTTATTATTCTAGTGGCTGCTTCTGCTCTCTGTTAATATGTGCATGTCTCTCTTTATAATTTCAACAATGTTTGAAGGGCTTTTCATACTAGGAATTATGCCATAGTAGGATCCTAAGGTCTCCAAGAACAGTGCCAAATGTCCTGACTGATGGGTAGGCTGTGCTTTAAGGTCTTTAAGTTGGGAGTTGGCTATTTGAAAATGATTTCTAAATGTCAAAGTAAGAAAAGCTTTGATTTGTTTGCTTGTTTCTCTTGTCATACTGGGTATTGAGCCCAGGATCCCATGCTACTTTTTAAATTTAAAATGAATCGCCAACATGCTAATACTCTACAGACTCTTTAAACACAGCTCGTTCTGCTTCTTCAAGCCATCGCAGTTTCACCTAAAAGAACAAAGTTCCAGGGAGTGGTAGGCTACAAATCCCTGCTTAGCTTGTGACCTATTAATTTATATAAACAAACTCTTAGAGAGATTTGGGGACTTGAGCAGAAACATAAGAATTTACAAAATCTGAGTGTTTCAAAAGACAGGTTTCTTATCGCTGCTTAGGATTCAATATTCTTTTTAAACCTTAGAAATATGTTTTTACGAGCTTAGGGTAAACATGGGAGATTATATTAGTCAGCAGTAGATCTCAAATAATTGCATCCTGTCATAGTTTCTGCTCAGTAATGAGGAAACCCTGTGGTTTATTGCAGGAAAATGTCACATGTATTCAAAGATAACAGATCAGAATATCAATATATCCATATTTTTCTTGTAATTAAAAAGCTTTGTTTAGAAAACAATTTTGTTTTATTTTTTTACTTTGAGAAGCATCTGCTGAAATGAAATTTAGTTGCGAACAGGCATATGGGGTTAAAGTCATGCATAAGCACTGTCCATAAATCTTACTCGATATTAAAGAAGGTACTAAACTCAAAGAATGACAGATCCCACATATTCTTCCTTTTATTTATTTTACCTATTCATGTTGGCTTGATTCACTTCATATACTGGATCAGTTTATGATTACCTGGAGCACTGAGTCATCTAGGAGAAATAGAGCGTCTTCCTAACTGGATTCTTTCCTTCCCTTTTCTCCATATAGTATCTTATGAAAATCATCTATAAGTGTACACCAATTATATTAGCATGAACTTACAGTTCATCAGTGACTTTGCGAACAAAAATAAGCCCCCAAAATCTTCTGCATTTGCTGTTCTTTTAGCCTGATTTTAGCCTCATTTCTTGCCAGGGTGCCTTTCTCACTTGCTTTACAACATCTAGTCACTTTTCTTCCCATTAAGAAAAAAAAAGGAATTCATATTTACCTTTCTTCTGCCTCTGCCTCTGCCTCAAAGATCTCCTAGAATGAAATCAGTATTTATCTCTGAAATCACAACTATATGCTGTTTATAAAGATATTTCTGGTGTTTGTATAGCCCCAGGTAGTGAGGTCTCAAAACATTGAAAAGGAAATCATAAAATCTAGGAGTACTGTACATAGTACCAATTCAGTGTGCTTGATCTTTTCTAGTTCAGTAGGAATCGAACTGATAGACGATTATA